ACATTCCAATATTCGTAATTATTACCAATAATTGGGAAAGGAAGAAAAAATTCGGCGTACGAAAGGCGAATACGCAGAATGTGAAACCCTTTATGAAAAATCAGGGGGAAGGTGCGTGATAATTAAGCTTAGGGATTGTGAAACCAGGATGAATAAATGCGGACAACGGGCAGAATAGGAATGCGTGGGGACGAACAGGAGAAATGGCGTGTATAAACTATGAAATTTTGGTGAAGAAATGGAGACAAGCGAGAACAATCGTGTTGATAAAGTATCAAATCGTTGCGGAAAAATTTAGACAAGCGACGGAAAAAGTGCGGATGAAATAGGCAATTGTGGGGACATAACTGAGAAAAAGGGGGAGGTCGCGAGGGAGAGGGGAAATCATGGGGACTAGATATATTGGTTCGTAAACCTTCAAAGATTATGAATTTGATGGTGCTTGTAAACCAGCATCCCTCATGTTAAACCTGCTAAATGAAGAAAACATTTATTATTAACTAAACTTTAACACTCTATGTACGCTATAAGGTAACATTTCCTTGTTCGTTTCATAACTAGCAGGACCTTCAGCAGTTTTCAACTGAGTTTAATGACATTCCGTCAGTATCACTCGGGGCTCAAGTCTTGTAGATACTTTGAGATGTATCAAAGTGATGAAGCCTGTAAACTAGCTTCTCTCATGTTAAACTTTTTTCAACGTGAAAATAAAATATTTATTTATTTATTTATAGTCCTGACACTTTAGCATGGGGCGTACTTAAATTCCGTCCAATATCCACTGCCTTTTGGATGACGATTCTTCCGGTGATTACTTATAGTCACAAAAACAGCTGTTTCCAATGAAATAATCCTGTACTTTTGTCAACGGTAACCGAATTACTCGACCATTCGGTGTGATATTTCAATATGTCGTTCCTTTGCACCAGCGGCTGATGGTCTCAGTTCTAGTCACCGTCATTACATAGGCCTTATTGTTGGTCTGGTATTCGTCACATACTCAGGACTGGGTATCATCCAGTTGTAAATGGCTTGCCGTAAGGATTTCGTAGAGAGCCGACTGACTTCCTTGGGGAGCGCGGTGACGCACAGAGATGAGGAGAATTGTTGCACTTCTTGGTGTTCTGCAGAATTTTTACCACCTTAGAATGTCTTCGGTATGCTTCAAATTAATTGGTACACTGTAGAAAGCTGGTATCGTCGGGCCGCTCTGTTAGTTCCTGGAGCATCTTCAAATATGCATGCCCATTAGCGAACTATCCTAAACGGATGATACTACCGCTTAAACCGAAGACTGCAGGTGCGAAAATTGACAGCTTTTCAACAAACATTGAAAAAATATTTCTTCGCCCACATTGCTTGTTCTGCCAGACGTCTAAATGGGAAAATATACAACAACAATCTATCCATAAGCAAGATTGTTTCCGTTCAAACTTATGATGTAAGAAAGGCCTGCGGCCAACTCATGAGAATCCATTCCCTGCTATTTGCCAGGCTGCAAAACGTTTCATGTGTCAACAGAAACGGAAATCAAGAGGTGGTATAGATTAGCTAAATCAGATCGCCTTTAATAGAGAGCGAAGAGCAAGTTACCTCATGAAAACCACACGTGAAGGCATTTTCTGTTACAAGAAATGCACCACGGGAACCTCTTAACTCCCATAATTGTTTCCCCCCTCACTTCGTCCGCGCGGCTCATTCTAAAAATATCTACAAAAGAATGTTCCACTTGTCTTTAGTGATGAAATTCATCACATGAAGAGTACCTGCTCTTGCTGACACTGGAGCGTGCATTGTATCTTCTCTGGTTCGTTCTGCGCCTTTGCAACTGCAACCAGGCTGTGAGCTACCGTCTACATCTCAAGGTGCAACACGCTAAGACTGGAACTTCTCTGGAAGAGGCGACTTAGAACGAGCCTTATATTTTACTATAAATCACTTCGTAAGCAAGTGCACTCATATGGCCCGGAAATTAAAATAGTTGTAACATCTACTCACTACTTACGTACTCACAACCTATTGGCTGAAAATGAGCGTTGTAACACCGAATTGCGAAGAAACTTCTTCATCAATAAGTTCTCTCACATCTGGAATAGACTTCCTAAGGAAATAGGTACCACAGGCACATTATCTACCTTTCGTTCTGCACTTAATAAGCTCCTAACAGATGATCAGTCTATCACTCGTTTGGTCACTATCTATACGTTCTGGGCTAATGAAAACATACTAGGACCTCTAAACGTATAGAGTAAAGCTATCATAAATCTCAAGTACTTTTTACCTCAATGGACTCATAAAGGGTGTCTGATTACTGGTCCATCTGGTCGGATTGTGCAGTACAAATGCATAACCAGTGTTCCCTTTAAGTTTGCCAACAAAAACTTCATATAAGAAAAAAGGAAGATCCATTCTCATATGAATGAATTAAAGTTTACATATAGCTCGAATGACTTTAAAAAGACAAAAACTTCTCTCCTCCCAGTTTGTTTTACGTGGTATTCCATTGCCCAGTTTCTCCTTGCACTTTCTTTTCTCTTTTCTTTTCAGTATCGGATTGACGGGAAAGTCCTAAGCATTACTTTGATCAAAACATATCGACTTACTGGAAATCCTACTTCCCATTTAATACTGGAAACTGATGTTAGAGGCATCCAACTGGCCCGCTGCGATTTTCCATTTTCCTATTTCTTGAACAGCTTAACAAGCAACTCACCTCCCTACCAGTGCCCTGAACGCTACCACATACGAAACCCCAAGCACAATAACTGGTCTCAGATTTCTGGTCCGTGACGAATGCAGCGGAAATCTGGATAAACAATCAAACTCGACAGATCACTTTACCTGACGGCAACACATCCATAATGATGCTGTGAAACAGATTTCTCTGGTACTTCTCTCTTGTATCGATCCACCTAATGGAAGTCAATTAACAGCCAATGTATCTCCTTGACAATGTTGCATACCTTAATGTGGAGTCTATGAAGTCTTACATGCGCGCAATATTCACCACTGTTGAACGACGATTCTTCCATTCTTTAATTACTTGCACCACAACAAATGTTTTCAGTACTACCAATCTGAATTGCTGGAAAAGAGTGAGAAATTTCTCACTCAGGCGTTAACGCCTGAACTCAGACATTCACCTGGATTAAATGGTTGTATGGATACTTACCTATTCCTGAAATCACTGAAGCAAGTTATTATTGGTCATTAAATCCGCGAACATAAGAATTGCTGTTAAAATAGACGTTTATCTGACTTAACACTTGGTCTTGTAGATAGGTCAATCATGTCGACTACTCACAACGCAATATTGCGCCGTTTGATGTGGAGAAAGAATTGTGAGCAGAAATGACCCAAACTCGGAACGATGTGTATGTACTGTAAAGTGATATTTTCCTGCAATTTTCATAACATTTTGACACTTGGTATCATGATAGAGTTCAACGTCCTCCCTCTGTGTCATTCACTACTGCCAAAACCTTTTATGTTTCTCTGCAATTATCAATTTGGTGGGGCCTGTAAACTGACCTCTCCCATGTTAACCTCATAACTTGAGAATAAAGATATTTATTTATTTATTATTACGTTATGAGCTGCCAAATTGTTTTTCGCGAGGCGTGTGAGGAACTGATCTACTCGTTTAGAATGCGAACCATCTGCTCAACAGCGGCACTTTTCAGGCATTCTGGTTATTATGCCGCGCCGGCAAAACTGGTAGTGCATCGAACCGTAGACCCAAGTCTCTCAGTAACCCAAGTTTTGAAAACATTTCCCGTGTTGACATTCCGGTTTAACCTGGGTTGCCCTGGTGATCATCCAAAAGGGGCATTTATTTTTGTGTTTGTGGTGTTTTGGTCCACTTCACCGCCACAGCATAATCTTGTCATCCCAACCACCATCCAGATTTAGTTGGGGGGTTTGCTGGACCGGGAATCATTTCCGCAATCGACTCAGTAATTCGACATTTTCGTCTGGCCACCGGGGTCATTACTTTTCGTTTCGTTGTGCGATTGTCATTTTGATTGGGTAGGTCTTCCAATTAGGTGAAATCCGTTTGACACCGATTGCTGTGGAATGAAACCACCTTGCATTTATTTCCCTGATCTCCTCCATAGAGGCTATATTTCGTTGTGGGGACAAAACCCAGTCAGTTTGCTGGAGGTTACAATGAAGAATGCAAATAATAAATGTCTACTCGGTCTCAGTTATCTTTTACTTGCGACATTAACATTTTCTGTAATTCTTTAATGCCACTGTGACTATCTGACCACTGCAAACTTGATTGTCTCTCGTATCGTCCTCTTTCCAGACACTGGCATTTTCTACTCGGTCGCGGCCAACAACTGAAGGCAAGATAACTGGGGTTCCAGTTGTTTCAAGGCTTCCAAACACATAAGGATAGCCCGAAAACTAGACTTACATCATTAGGATTTTGAAGAACCAACTTGCCATTTACTACTCGGCTTCAAAGATTCACAACTCTACTTTACCCGTTCACCTGTAATGCCGTCGATGGAAGGAAGTAATGAAAATTAGAGCCCGCTTCAGAAACAAGATACTGGAGACAATTTCAACACCTGTCACTCCTGTAGCCTCTCACCACATACTACTGTGTGAAACGTAGAATCAACCTTTACTAACGATTGAAGTGAAGGATTGTACGCTTAGCTGTTGCTATTCTGTTCTTCTGTATTCATGTGGCAACTGAGTCTCAGAATAGAGGCAGTAGTAGTTTTAGTTTCTGAACACGGCGGTTAGATTTAACAGCCCCACCCACTGCATATTAAGCCATCTGATGCCATTGTGTTAGCATGTCATGTCTTATTGTGCCCATCACAGCTATGAAGGTCAGTAGACGCATTGATGTCTTCAACAAATGGTAGTGACGAGAAACTAGTCATGGGGGAAAGTAATAAAACATGGGGCAGCTAACCGGTTTATAACCTAGCAAAATGAAACATCAAACACCGAACGTTTGTGTTTTAAAGCTCAGACATAAGGAGCGAATTTGTTTTTACAAGGTTAGAGCAGGTAGGTTGTTTCCTGAGGTTGAATTCGATGTATCGGAAGTGTCTAGTGGCTTTTGCATTGTAACCCATGTTACTGTTAACTAGGTGCTTATTGCTGTTTGTACCGAATCCGACGATTCGGGTGTACACTGTGGGACAGGCCGTAGTTGACTTCAATGATTTGAAGTAGCCTTGAGGGCTAAACCCACTTTTACGTAGAGTTATGTAAGTATTTTGGATGCTGAAGCAAGTTACTGTTGTTTATCGGTAGTTGTTAAGTTTCTGTGAGGTGAAGCACTCCGTTACATCTCTTTCCATCTGATCAGTTGATTAAGTTTATTGAAGACGTTTGTCAAGGTGAAGACATCTATTGACCCAACTGAAGCATGGTTTTCAGCTTTTACTTACATCATAAGTAGCTGCCAGGCTTATTGGTGCTGCCTTGTTTTGCCAACTACCGTGCCAAAATATGGAATTCAGCATCACTTCACAAACCGCCAGCTCTGAAAGTTGGCAACGAAAGCCGTGATTTTACTTACTTTTAGTTTAAATAACATTGTTATTGCCACAGTCAAGGCCAGTAGAATTTTTGATCTGTTCATCCTATGTAGGAGAGGGTCTGTGGAATCGAGTGTTGACCCCGATTACCGCATTTCTTTCACTCTCAGTCCAGTGCTTGTTGCATCTGAAATAAGGAACGGGAACTTGCAGCACCGTGACAAAACTTTTCTGGGATGAAAGTCGCCATACTCGTTACGTTGCAGACAAAAGCCGACAAAGAGCTTAGTATGGATTTGAGAAAACAATGGTATGTACGAGATGCTGCCACAACGATGGAAACGCTTGGAGTTTGCGCTATCAGTAAAAACGGTGGCACGAGAAAAAAATGAGAGGGAAGTATATGCCTGTGCAGTTAGTTATGTTTTTGAATCGCTTCTGGAAGGTGACTTTTCGATGCTACAACGTTCTCCGCTCCTATTCGCCGTCGGCTTTGTCGTGCAACGGTGGTTGCCATGGTTTGCTGCTGGAGTATGAATATGGGCGATCACACTATAGACGGTTTCTTTGGATCATATCCGTGGCTTTCGACTGGAGTCATTTAGGTAAATGTAAACTTCCTATTTGGGGTCCCTGTGTCAAGGGGATTCAGGGTTTAAAGATTCAAGGTGATTTGACTTGGAACTGACCTCAGTGATTCGAATTTGTCCACACATTTTCTTTGTTGTCATTACCTTATCAAATTTTGTCGTCTCATTCCTAATTGTTCTTTTTGTGACCTTCTACCACTTTGGACTGGTTTCTCCCCCCATTTTATTTCTTTATACTGGTGCATTCTAGCGTGAAATGTTGTTGATGTTTTGCAAATTGTATCTTTATGCAGTGGAGTGAGTTCCTAGTTTGTGATTGACTTAATTTGAGAGATAACTCGTGGTTCAGTTCAATATCTGTCTGAGAATGAGCCAATTAGACAAGTGGTGGTTACTGGAGATAATATGGATCGTAACGGATGTTCGGTGAACTGGGAAAAGTAGTCAACTCGTGATTCGCGTAGGAAGTATTTATCGGATGTTGGGCCAATGGAAGTAAGTGGTTTGTGATTTGTGGCACACGAAATAGTACACAACTGAATTTTCTGCCAGTTCTGTCTTGTTCCCGCTTCTTACGGCCGCGAGAGAAAGGCTGTTAGCTGCCACTGATTTTCAGTCAGTTGTTGAGGAACGGCTGTGATCTCCGAGTCTAATGCACCATCAGCAATACTCACGGGATTTTTGGATTTTGATATGCACAGGTATGATTTTTTTGTGATAGCCCTCTTAACCTTAAAGAAGGAACATTTAGCCATAGTTTCCAGGCTCGCATACTTTGTATTCTTGTGAAGCAAATCTGTCAGTGGTCTCAGATGAGCATCACAGTTGGGAGAAAACGTTTCGTAGCAACTTATCAGGCCGTTGAAAGTGTGAAGTTGCTTCACAGTGGTCGGTTTCAGATAGTCCAAAAATAGCGTACACTTCATCCGTTAGTGGGTAATTACCTTTGTTGCCAATGTTGTTTCCAAGGAAATTGAGCTGTTCAATGTCTGTCTGACACTTCTGGATGTTTACTGTAATAACATGCTTGTTCGGTTTATTGAATGCAAAGTCAAGGTGTTTTGGGTGGCTTACTCATCTAAACTTACTATGAGATAGCCATCGTTTTAAATGGAGACAAAGTTGAAACCATAGGGAACATCCATAGGGTGCCTGCTTGTTTTAACCACTCTCGGAAAACCAAAGGGTATGCGCATAAATTGAGGTGGTTCCTATCGTGTGATAATGGCTCTTTGTGGAGTATCTTCTGCTACCACTGGTATCTGACTGTACGCCTTGACTAAGCCGATTTTTGAAAACATATTCATTCTGCATGAATGAGTAGTTATGTCTTAAATGTGTAGTATCAGGTGCAGTCTAGCGTTAAGGGGTGGGCAATCACGTGTTGGATACATTGCTGCTGTTATCTCTCTGCATCGTATACAGTAGTTATGCTCATGAACTGTTTGACGTTTGGTCAATGCCTAGTCTGAGCATACAGTCGAAGTCCTTCATTTTCCTAAGCTTTTCAGGAGTTAGGAGGCGTGCTCTGGATGCCACAGGTGGTCCTATGTTTGCTATGTGACGCATAACATTACTGGTTATGTATGGTAGAGTATGCGTTGATTGTTGCAATTTCGGAATTTTCCGTAACATTATTTGAAAGAAGGCGCAGGTGGAGTGATTAACTGAAACCTGTGTGGTCGGTTTGACTAATGGATAGCTTTGTGTTTTCTGTCAGATGTCGTCGACTGGGATTTACATGTAGGTCATCTGATCTGTACCTATGATGGGAATTACGAAATCAGCTAGAAGGAAAATCCTGTAAATAGGTTTGTACAAACTTGAGATAATTAAGGTTAAAATAAACTTGCCTTTTTCCAGAGATTGCGATTAGTTATTATCCAGCTGCTTGCAGATTAATAAACGTTTCATGACGATGTTCGTTTGTGACCTCAAGAGCTCTTATTTTTATTCCAGTGTCGACGAAATAGTGAGGTTTCGGCATAACGTCTGGCGTAACAAACAGCCAGATCTACCTGCTATGGTTATCGTTAACGCGTGCTGGCGGGACAGTTTGCCAGTTTTTGGAAGTGCGCCGTTTTCGGCAGTCTCGTTCTTCCTCGCCTCAGGTGTTCTGAGACTAACACCACTTAAGGTTTTCGGCAGTAAGCTTTACCTTTCAACTGGCCACGGGAATTGTGGCAGTGAAATGAAACATGGGAGTGATATTTTGTGTGTCGTGGTATATGTTTTCAAGTTTACTGAAGCTGCTTATGAGTTGCAAAGCTCTATTACCTCAAGATACAAAAATGCAGGTTTTTTGTTCACAGAATACACGTTGGAAACAGGTCTAGAAGATATCCTATATTTTTTCATCCGAAGCTACCAAGTCAGTAGTCGCAACGGATTAAGGTGTCATCGATATGGTTTAGACCAGCTGTAGTAGTTTGAAAACAAAACAGCTTGTGAAAAAGGTCATTATTGAACGTTCGTCGATAAATTTCTCACTTTTATGAGCTCAAGTCAGTAGGTGAATTCTTTAACTCAGCGTTACGAAACAACTCATCTAGACGCTGATGGCCTGCGGTATCATTTCCTTAAAACGGCGGTCTTTGGCAGTATATAGGTTACTCACGTTTGGAGTGGACACAGTGTTACTTGCCTGACCAATTCCTATGGTGATTACCTATGGAATTAGGAAATTGGGGACAGACATCTATGTTGTCCTGTCCCCAGAAATCGACTTCAGGAGCCATGTGTCTGCGTTGTCTGGTCCAAGTGGTACGAGTTGAATCGGTTATGTCGTTGGTTTGAAACGAGTAAGCTCGGAAGTTTGTTTGCACATAGGTATGGGAGTTTATTTTACGAGTGTATTTTTTCTTTTGGGTTCCTAATGGAACATAGGGCTTCAGCAGCACGTCGCCATTTCACTCTGCTTTCTGCAGTTTTTTGAACCTGGCTCCATGGCTGCCCAGAAGCTTTCATTTTTTCCCCACATGATCTCCTCCATGTCATCCTCAAATGCCCAGCTTATCGTTTCCCCTCTGGGTCCCACTCGAGGGCATGGCGTGCGATGTCCCGGAATGGTCTTCTCAGTGAGTGCCCAATCCATCTCCACTTTCTTCTGCATATTTGCTGGGCGATAGGTTCTTGTTTGGTTCGTTGCCAACCAGAGTGAGTTCCTTGTTGCTTATTCTTTCTGGCCATCTGATGTCATCTTCAGTATCGAGTTAGCGAGCGTAGGTGGCAGCTGTTGATGAATGTCTGTAGTTTGTTGGAAATGCTTACGTAACGCGCCAAGTTTCTTAACCATATAGAAGTACTGACTTAGCGTTGGTGTGGAAAATCCGGATCTTGTTCCACATGCTGAGTGCAGAAGGTCTCTTTAGGTTAATGAAGCCCTGTCTTGGTGTCTTTCCGGCCATAGCTTTGACATCCTTATCTGTGCCTGTGCCGCCTGTAGTTGAAACGATGCTGCCTAGGTAGATGAAAGAGACAACTTCCTTTAAATTTCTTCTGGTGATAGTGATTGGTGCTTGTTGTTGTGGGTTAGGTATCTTCATCACCTCTGTCTTCTCTACGTTCACTTGAAGTCCTTCTCTGCCTCTCCTGTCAACTTGTTGGCTTTTGCTCGTAGGTCTTCGAGTTTATGCTACAAGACATCAGACATAAATCATTATCGGCAAAATCCAAATCTTCTTCTGTGGGTCTTTTCATCGGTCCAGTCAGCGCATGCGCCTCTTCTCGCTCCTCACTGTTTGGTGCACGATTCAGTTCAGTCAACCACAATCAGGAAGATCATCGGTGATAGTAGGCAACCTTGTCTTACTCGTGTCTTCACTTCAAAGGTATCACTGAGCTTCTCATTATGAATCACTTGACATGTGGCTTCGTCATATAGCTGTTGAATGAGGCTGATAAAGGTTCGTGGCACTAAGACTGTAGTGTTGAAGCAGCTGCTTGCCAAATTACTTCTTGGTTGACGCTGTCGAAGGCCTTTTCGAAGTCGGTGAAGTTGAGGTTAAGTTGAGCTGACTGCCATTCTATGATTATGCGTAGCATTGCAATTTGATCCCCACATGATTTGTTCTTCCTAAAGCCAGCCAGCCAGCCTGTTCCGGTCGTAATTTTGAATCCCGCACATTTTTTAGACTCTCTAGGATGATGTGGTTTAATATTTTGCTCGGAGTGGACAAAAGCATGATACCGCGCCAGTTCTTGCAAACACTTAGGTCTCTCTTCTTTAGGAGTTTGACAAGGTAGCCCTCCTAATCTGCAGGTACCTTTCCTTCCTTCCAAACGTTCTGCAGTAGTGGTGTGAGCATGTCCGCTGTTGTCTCTGTGTGTTTTCAGTGCTTCTGGAGGAATTCTATCTGGTCCTGCTGCTTTCCTGAATTTCAGCAACTTTATGGCGTTCCGGACTACACTTCTGCTTTTTTCGGAGGGCTTGTGTTCACTAGTAGTTCTGCCTTTGCTGGTGGCATTTCTGGACGAGTTGCAGGTAGCAGTTGATTCCAGAGTTTTTTGAAGTGATCAGTTCATTGTTTCCTTTGTTTCTCCTCTTTGGTAACTAAGCTTCTTTCACTATCTTTCATAGGTTTCATCTGCGTTGATCTCTTCCCTCCCAGATAGTATAGCGTTGTTAGGTCTCTCCTACCAGCAGCCTGTTCTGCTTCACTTGTCAATGTGTCATAGAAGTGTCTTTTGTCTTTGCATGCACTCTTCTTCACTTCTTTGTTTAGTGTAATGTTTTACAAGTTGTATTCAGTTCCTCTTTTCGTTGTTCATCCCTGCACTGCACTGATTCGTCTTCTGCTTCACCATCTTCCTTTCCTTTATCAGCTTCCATGTGTCCGTGGCGATCCATTCCTTGTCCTGTTTCTTCTTCCTTGCCATCCATCCATATCAACATGGGAGTTGCCACAGCTCATATCAGTACGCAAGTAAAACGGCAGTGAAGTTGAAGATGAAGAAAAGAAAACTCAGTCAAAGGAAATATAAAGTACCAAAAGAGAGGAACGAAGAATGAGAAAATGGTGAGGTTCGGTATAGCATCGTTAAGATGAGGATAATGTGTGTATACATCTGCACCACTGACATCGGTTCTGAGCCATATCACCTGGAGTTTACAACCACTGGTTCCTCTTGTCTCGCGGACCCCAACCACCTATTCTGCATCGCCCCACATGGCTCAAACCAGCAGTAAAAGACTTCATACATTGGTACCATGTTTTGGGTTGACCGCCTCGGGCCTTTTTCCACTCTGAACCTACTTCGGCCAACATTGTGTGACGAGGCAATCGGCGACTAGGCATACATATTACGTGTCTCAACCATCTCAGTCGATGAAGGTTCACCACCTCGTCAACTGATTTACCTCTACTCCCTAAAACTCTGTACCTGACGTCTGCGTTACGTGGTGACACGATGAAATACGGCCTATACTACGAAGGCAACGGTGGTCAAACACCTGAAGCCTTCTCGTGTCTTTTACCTTCAATGGCCATGTTTCTCAGCCATACAGTAGAACAGAGTGGGCTGCTGTGCAGTACACGCAACCCTTGATAGACAATCAGATATCATGGTGGCGCCACAGGTGGCGTAAGTTGATGAAAGCCAACCGAGCCTTTTGTATTCGTGCAGAGATTTCATCGGCCACTGAGTCACTAGGGAGGGGCTGGTCCTACTTCCCAGGTAAGTGAAATGGTCGACACACTCAACCACTAAACTTTTTATTGTTAGCCGTGGCACCGTTGAAGACCAGTCCTGGAGCAACGGTTTGGATTTAGGTGATGAGAAACATCCCAAACATTCTCAAATTGCCACTCAAAGTCTTCAGAAGACTGTGTATCTTATCAGCGTCTTCACGTAACAGGACTATGTGATCTGCATATTCTAGGTCTAACGAAAATTCTCCTGTGATTAGGTCAACCTCTGTGTATTCAGGTGACGAAAGGGAGACCTACAAAAGAATATGTATAATAAAATTGAATAAGAATAGAGAGAGTGGGCAGCCTTGATGGACACCACTCGATGGACATCTCACCATAGGCTCTAACACCCACAACTATTCGAGTAGAAAGCCTTCAATAAGGTGACGTACTTACCCGGCACGCCTTTCAGTGGGAGACATTGCCATTCGGGCATTGGAGGTGGTTAATTCGATGATTTCCTTCCTAGCACGGTTATGCAGGTTTCCTTCCAGATCTCTTTCAAACATTCCAGTGTTCTTCTACACAGGTTTCCTCAGGGATGTTGATCAATGTCTCCCATTTTGTCCTGATGGGTAACTGACGTGAAGATATGCTTTGTTGTTTCGTCCTTCAATTCAGTTTCTGTTCTGGGTGTTCAACTTGAACTGTGGTCTATCACCAACTTCCTTGAATTGAAGGCTCTCAACTTGATTTTCCAGGTAGGTTCCTTGCACTAGATAGTGGTCTGAGCCTACATCTGCTCCTCTTCTTCACCTTGTGTCCAATAGGCTGACTGCATCTCCACCTTCTTGAGATTGAGATAAAGTCGATCTGATTTTTAGTGTAGTATGTCCATCTGGTGAGATCGAATGCATGTCGCTCGCTTTGTGAATATCCTTGTGTTTGTACACACTGCTTCACCTCCAATCACCAAATCGTTGAATGCGCAGGAATTTGCAAACAGTTCTCCATTCTCGTCCATCACTTCACCGAGTGCTTCTTGACCCATGATAAGTTCTCTTCCTGTGTTATCCATTCCCACCCAGTTTGGCATTCATGTCACCCCACCCATTAGAATTTTGATGTCGCCAACTGGGTGTTGTCTTGTCTAGTAGTGATTGCAGTTGTCTGTACAATTCCTCCTTCTTCTCTTCATCGGCATTATTTGTAGGTGCACATTGTAGCGTAGTGTAGCATTGTATGATTGTGACTTCTCTTCCTTTTCAGTGGAATCCATCATGCTGTGATGATCCTGATCCTGCAGGAAAAGATTGGTTTCCATTACCTGAGAGACTTCGATGCTCTTCAAGGGACATCATGTTAGCCACTAGAGAACTCAGTGTGCTTGTGGTTGTTGTCTGTGTGACAATATCTGAGTAGATTATTAACTCTCGAGTTGGTAGTTTGGAGAGTCCACTCTCATTCCATCTCTGATTCCTCGCAAATTCCTAACACTTCAATGCGATACCTTCTCATCTCCTTTGCAATCTTGTTAGCCTAGTTAGGTTCATACAATGTGCGGACATTCCATGTCCCCATGTTCACTTTCACTTTCATCGAGAGAGAGGAGACACATTGGCCAATTGGCTTCTCGAAGGCTTTCACCAACCGGTGTCATTTCGTCTCTCCGATTCCAGCGAGGGATAATTTTAATTTTTCGTTGTTTGTATTTTCTTCGTGCTTTGAAGTATTTTCAGCGGTTGGATTGGTTTTTTGGTGTAGGGTTGCTAGTCTTATTCCCAACCTTCCGTTTTTGTCCGGGCTTTGGACTGGCTAGTAAACTAGGGCACTGGTTAACTAGGCGAGGTTTTTACTAGTGTATGAATGTTATTGATATGAAAAGCAAATGCACAAGTACAAAACGGAACAGTGTAGCAGTTGTCAACACATGGTCCTAACAGACGTAGAGGGAGACTACTAATCCTTCATGTTTGTTGAATACCTACGAGTATGAGAACTAAGAGAGAACACATTTGGGTAGCCAGGTAAGGACCGTTTGTTTGATGAGTCGTGCCAGTATTGCGATATATATGAACTAGCTAACTAGGGGATCGTGAACGAGCAACGCAACGTAACGTGACATCATGCAAATGGTGTGGATGTTTGGTCGTGTACAAATTCGCTAAAACTATGGTCGACATCAATGTTGAATGTCATCGAACCTCGGGTTGTCGCTTCTGGGGAATTATTTGTCGATACTTATCTTGACTAACTGGGAATACGAAGCTCATTCACCTGTCAACGATACCACTTGTCTATGGTAATAATAGTAATCAGAGCCATCTACCGACCATGCACAGGTTTATCTACTAGGCAATGGACTATCTATTTTATTTGTCTGCCTGAACTTCGCTAGTTGGATTGTAAACGATAAGAAAGGTCGTTGTAAATACGTTTTTTAATCAGCACATCCCATACGTATCAGAATTTCTTTCTGCAAGATGAACTTCTGAACACCACACCTCAGTGTATAAATGTATCATTTATTCTACAGATATGTTATTATTGCATTGGTTCACTATTAATGTAGCATTGGATTGCTTCACAAACTCGAAAATTTAAACAGATCATGTGCCAGTTGTCTGTAGCAAAAAAAATGCTAAGCATGAATTACTATGACTAGTTGTTCGAGTCTGTCTTTCTATCTTTTGTTCACACAACTACTTGCGGTTACTGAATCGAACATTTTCTAAATTGATATAGCTCACGGCGAAGCAGTGTTGTAAAAACTAACATTTTTGTAGCAAATTTCTTGTTATCGCTGTGACACCGGGTTCTGCATAAGCGAACATGCATTTCGTTCACTAATAGTGAAGGTTATTTTTGTATTTTTAGGATTTCTGTATCAAGAGTATTATGCGTTAAAATCTGAAGTTAATTAAGTTCCAATTTCCCTTTAAGCAATGCTTCTTTTTTTCTCTTTACAGAATTCTTCCATTTCCATACCACTTTGTTAGACCTTTGTTACTCGTATCTGTTAAGAAATGAACTATTCAAGGGATCCTCCACCTCCTTACGAAACTGCGGCTACGACCCCTTCAGGTAGTTTTATGTAACCATTTCTTCGTTCGTGTGATTTATATTTCGCATACTAATGATGAATTTCTCAATTTACTGACATTGAGTCAACTCTTCGAAAACAGCTAGGGTTGAAGATTCTTTCTCATCTACAACTAGTGCAATCACAATGACGTTAGATATAAAGGCAAAGTGTGAGCTTCTTTATTTTGTAACTTGTTCTTGTTGAAAAAGGTGTGACTCACTAACCCATGTTGAATTTCATGTGATCTGTTAGTGAGTAACTTAACCTTATGGTTAGTAAATGGACCCTTAAGCTGGTGAGACGATTCTAAAGGTCAAAAAGGTTTGAAGCCATGGTGATTATTTGCACATGGATGAAATATATGGACAAAAATTTTTGTAAATATTCCCAGTCGTTTAATGGTATTTTTATTATCCCCTCGAAAGTCTTGTTTTGAAACTGTTTATTCTATCCCTAATTATGTTTTGGCGTTTATTTTTTCCTGTGCTATAGTGAGTTGTAAGAGCTACAGATGTTTTGAGATTTTTTAATTGCTCTATGCGGTCTGGAAATCAGACAGTTGGTTCTCCTTACAACTTTGAAAACTATATGGTGGTACAATTATGTCACCGCTAAACATTCATCATTTGTAAAATCAGAAAACTCAATAATAGTTCAACTTTTTTGATTATTGAGTGATTCAGTTTACTTGTGTTTGAATAGAACGACAATTACAGAAGGTTTATTTGTATATTTATCCATAATCACTTTGTCTAGCTAGAGTTGACAACATATAGACTTATTTACTCGCATTTATCCCATTTCAAACCTTTGGGCATTCTTCATTTTTTGAATTCCCTCATTCATTTCTTCCTAATCATCCTAATATCCTCCCATCTTTTTCTATCTCACATTTTTAGTATCTTAAATGAATGCATTTGTTCATGGTTCCACATTGATACATTATCTTTACCGTTGATAATTTCAACGAAATGAATAGCTAGTTGAGACACATGACTATCTATTACTTGATAAATCATAGGTTCAGGCATACTACCTTTATCTAGATAGCTAAGTAGCATTTACATTTCACGCCTGATAGATGCTGACTGTAGCTTATTAGATAGATGGTTGTTCATCTGGTTACCAATATTCGTACTGGGCGATGATGAAAGGTGAAATAAAAGTCTGGGTCGTGGCAGGACTCTAACCAGTGACCGCTGGGTTCCCGGCCCGGTGCTACGGGATCTGACTGCTGATATTCACGCAAAACCTAGTAAAGCTGTTGTAGCTGCTAGAAAAGTCACTGACCTATCCAAATGCTGTAAAACTCCACGTAAACAAATGTTGCATTTACAACTGAGGTCTACAGTGGCTGTGTTTACCTTCTATTTTCCTTTTGTCAGTTTCTCTGTAATCGTATTCATCTGATTAAGATGATTATTCAACAGCACCATACTGTCTTTTTATGCGTGTGTTTGAAATGATCGTAGTAGGGTATGTAGCGCGTAACTTAGTGGTAAAATCTGTTGTGGCTACTGTAGGATTCGTCAGATTACAGATTTCCATTCACTATTTTTAAGTGGTAACGACCACCGGGCATTTCTAAATAGTAAGTGATGTGAAAATATAGCCACTCATTTACCTCTTTTGTTTCTGGGTGTTTGCATAAGTTTGTGCAGTAAGCAATGTAACACTAATAAATAAATAAATAAATAAAAATAAATAAAAAAATAAATAAATACAGTCTAGTGAAATCTGCCACTTTTCTTTGGGTAAGAAGTACGTAGACCGTTACTAAACTTTGCATTCCCAGCAGATTATCAGCAGACTAATAAGTTTTTTCAAGCATGAAGATTTATCAAATCACAAGTATTTATACACATATACACAGATCTAAAATTGCTAGAGTTAGTTTTTCGGGATTTAAAAGTGGCGTAGATGAACCATTTGGACATTTGTTCTACGAACATTAATCGAGAATTTGCCCTCTCATTTATTTCTCGTTTTCATCAATAAGCTGGTAGAGATTTGTGTAGCTTAAATGCAATCAGCTGATCATTATATCTACATGCTCAAAACTAATATCCTACTAACAACAACTTTCCTTGACTTATGTGACCTTCAATTATTCGCTTATCTATTGTGCGTCGGTAATCAAGCGCTTTAGTAATTCTGTACTAATCTGTGACTCATTGGTTTGGGGAGATGATTTTCAAACAGTAGGTTGCGGATTCAAACCTTGCTCTGACTACCGAGGTTTGGGCAGCTAAGTAGTATTATTAGCCCTCACACACTAGGCGTGGCTCATTACCTGCTGCACGAATGTGCAAAAGATTGCTGAGTGGGTTTCGATTTTCGAGTTAAGTTTGCGGAGATTTATTTAATACTTTCACAAAACAAAAGACGTTTAGCGAACAGTCACTCTTTTTAGCAATATAATTCTCGAAACGTACAGTCGCATATAAATATCCTATTCACAAAGCACCAAACAAAATTTGATTTGCTCTGTGTCATAGAATCCACACTATCTGCAGTCCTGATACTTTGGAAGATAAACTTAGTTTTTTTTCAAAAATGTTTTGATTGAAAACCAGTATCCTGAGCGTTTCATTGCTAAAACTATGAAACTGAAAGCAGATAATCATTCCACTTCTACTGCTTTCATGAGCTTACAGTTCAACGGAGATACAGCAGATGTATTGAGAAACCGTCTGGTATGCTTATTGAGAAAGACTCTCTATGCTGCCAGACTCATATTAACTTTCTCCACTCACCTAATGCTTTGATTATGCCTAAAGGATAAGCTAGCTCTTGACCATCTCAGTTTCGGTTTATCAGTTCACAAAGGAGAAGAGAGAACACTTCACAGCTCTATTTTAGAACATTTGATCGATTATGACCACCCAGTAAATGCAGAAAACAACTTTAGTATAATCTATAGAGTTCATGCAAATCTTGTGAAAGGTGTACACCTAAAACTTCAAACTGTGGAAGCCATCTCAATATTTTGAAGCCTGAACTCTGCGTTCAAAAGAAATTTGTCCAGTCACTTGAGCTGCAATGAACATAACCTATGAGGACATTTTTAGCTTCAAAAATCTTTTCATTCAGATCCTCTCACACATTACATTCCTCCACTCCTATAATTCTGATTTGTCTTTACACTCCTTATATTACATCATCTAGTAACTAAATATTAGTTCAGTCTTGATAAGTCTGCTTCCCATCACAATTTCAAGCGCTACATAATTCTTTTTTCCGATCTCCTGATTTATAATCAAATCTGAACTTGGTTCAAAATATTTCATGAAACATTCCTTTTCTGTTACTATGTTTATGGAATATGTATATGCGATTGTGCAGCATAAGAATGATATCTCTGAAAGAGTGACTAAACGTCCTCTGTTTTATGACTTAATGGGGATCTTTAAACTAAAGTTTATATTTATCTTTATTGTTGTTTTTTTCTTGCATTTTTTCATTTGTATAAGCCCCGTATCCCACAATTGGATATGCAGTCGGACCGTACTCTGATTCTACAGGATATCAAGGGGAACCATCCAATGAAGCACCTAAAACCAACCGAGATGGACCATTTACCAATTTGCAATATTCTGACAAATATGTTAGACATGCATTCATTCGAAAGGTTATTTTCCATTTATTCATTGAATCTCGATTTTTTTTAGGTTTATTTAATTCTAACAGCCCAATTATTAGTGACTTCAGCCTTCATTTGCACCTTCTTGTTTTCGTAAGTTTTAAAGTGTTCTCAAAAATACCTTTTCTTCTAGATATCGTGTAAAAAAATGGGTTGCAAGGAATTCATGGTTTTATTATTTATCTTAGTAAGTTACTGCATCGTTGTCTTGCAGTTGATTTTCTAATATGAGTAAGATTTAGTTGAATATAATCTCGTTTCCCCTTTATATGGATCATTATAATACAGTTAGTTTTGCCTAGTATCCTGTAAGTTATGGTACAAGCAGTTGGAGTTGTGTTTTCAGTCCACCTTACGATTTGAACAGTTCATGGCCAATACCTACAAAATGATTGGAAATTATTTTCAAACAGTATATTTTTCACGAAGCATACAGCAAACTTGTTGATAAGAAAACAAATGGCATCTTTGGCGTTAAAAGTCAGTTAAAGTTGGTCATGATGAGTAATCAGGCAGTATCGAGGCATCTGCATTGAAGCCTATCTGCCAACAGAGGTCGGGCGATTCGACGCAGTGTAGTAATTGGGTATTTAAAGTATCAAAAATAACGACTGATATCCGTTGCATAAGAGGCGGGACTTGTGACGTAGTAGCCTAGTGGATAACCGTTTGGCTTCCCAAGCGATGAGTACTGGATTCAAATCCTGGTAGGAAAGAGCATCACTCACTGGGAGGCAGCTGATGAGTCCTAAATAGGGTGAAGCACGTGTCTTGAATCCCACTGCTAGCCACTATCCTTCGTTAATGTAAAATTAAGTTACATTGTTCACACTGAAATATGATCAAATGTGTTTATTTTACGAATTGCTGCTATGAGCGTTTAGTGTTTTCTACAAAACACTATTGTGTAGGAGCTTTTTCACCAAATTAAGTTGTCTTTGCATTCAAAAAAATGCCTAGTAAATGTAACCTTTGGACATAGTGCATGATGTGAAACGATGTAGTAATTATTTTTCATTTCTTAATCATCTCTATTTCTTTTTTTATATTGAAAATGTCTACGAATTGAATATAGTCGTTTTCTATCAGCAAAGTTATTACTTTTTTGGTGTTTTCGATTTACTAGTGCAACCTTTCTGTGCACCTATATCGCGTTGGTTTGTTGCCCAGTGTGAGACGAAGATATCCTGGAAACGTTATTGCTTTGTCTGTTTTTGTAAGTGATATGTTAAAGAGATGTGTACTTTATTTTCATATACATATGTTTACACTTTATATGTAGATTGTGCAAAATATAAATTATCAGATAGTATAGAATTCCGGCATCTTTCTACACTATGAGTAAAACCCTGTAGATTGTCTCTCTTCTTTGCAACAAGGTTCATTAAAGGTGTTTATAATTCACATAAAGTTGTATCAGTTGTATCCATACTACAATTTTTGTGAAATATATACTGTTTGAGACAAATCAGTGAACCGCTTGGTATTCTAACTAGATATTGAGCACTCACTTTCACTGAGACTATACTATTTACAGTGCTTACTTCTTAAGGTCTTTGTACAGTCATTTTGCACTTACCAACATAAACTCTTCATACACACTGGCCTGCAAAGAGCTAAATCATGTAAAAAGAAATGTATGTACTTGACGGCATGAAAAGAAATGGAGGGCTTCTAAAAGTTCTCAAGTGTTAACATTTGTCAGGTAAGCCGGTCACGAAAAGCTTATGGTTAATCTGAAAAGATGTGTTAATTATTTGTTCATAGAAATGGACCAATAGAAGGACAAATGGGATATTTCACTGTAACACTTCTACTACCGCTACTAACAATCTGGTGATATTCTAAAGAATATACACCAGTAAACCACTCCTCTATCCCTAGTCGTCTTTTTTAAGAACTAAGCATCGTTTTTATTATCCCTGCTACTACTCTCCGCTCGTCTTCACTTCTTAGCTGGTTGACCGAATACCGGATTGGTTTTTGGGCTTTTGGGGTAGGTTTACTGGTGATACAATCCATGACCTACGCCTTATTCTTTATCAGTCAAGTTTCATAGTTGGATTATGCTTCATTTCCATACACTCATTTCGGCAAAATACAGAAGCCCCGTTTAGCATTTGCCAGCTTGCGTCACCAGTGACACTGGCGAGATATCTGACTCTCTGTGAAAGGATGAGTATGCTGCACTGCAGTTCGTTCTTTCCTGTTGTACGGCTGTAAGACATGGCCGTTAAAAGTAGAAAACAGGAAGCAGTCACAGGGTTTTGATCACGGACATCGTTATAGCATTGCACGCGTTTGGTGGGATCACCATGTGAGCGATGTTTAGGTTAGACTAAGGGTACTAGGCAGGACAGGCAAGTCGATCAATGAGATTGTGATTCTTCATCGACTGAGATGGCTTGGATGTGTGTTGCGCATGCCGATCCACCGCCCACTTCGACGTGCCATGCTGGGGGAAGTGTGATTGGGTTGGAAGAGGGTTCAGGGTGGCCATATCAAACCTGATAGTAGTCGTTAAAGCCTCTCACTGTTTGGTCTTAGTTGTGTGTGGTGACGTAGATTGCCTGGTTGGGATCCTGGAGACAACAGTAATCAGTGGTTCAGGACTGTTGGTGGTGTGGTTGAAAATCCGTGACAATAGCTCAGATGCATTCGCTCCTTTACATCTTCTAAAGGTTGAATATTCACACTAACTGTTATCTTCAAGTTGTCTGCTTTGATATTACTCTTATTCTATCCAGTTGTTCTTTTTGTACTGCTGTGAAGTATGTGCCTGTGTGAGAGGGGTTCTATGTTGATTTTATCAGTCAGTCATTCAGTTTTAAGTATTTTGCCATGTTATGCAACTGCTTATCCAAACGTAATAGTATTTATGCCATTTCTGACACGTTTTGAACAGTCTTCACTATTCACAATAGTCTTGATTAGTTCATTGTATGTATGGCATTTTGGTTACTGATGTTTTCTTTCGTATGCTACTTCGCCCCAAAAAAACTACTGCAACCATGTAACACATTATAAATACTCACTTAACGGCTTCGTGAATGAGATGACTGAAATATCTTTGCTATGCTTGCTTTGCTTGCTATGATTCTATTGGTCGAGCTGTTTCTAAATCAACTGTTTATTGGTTAAACTAAGAGAGGTAAATATGGATGTAGTCAAGTTTGCAGTTGCAAAAATACACTTCCTCCATGATGCTGATACCATCTTATCGTTGCAACGTTTTCGTGTATCAAAACCACCATGTGCATATGTTATGTATAAAAGAGACTTTCCAATAACAAATGTATTTGAAACGTTTGCGATATAAGGTAACACTTGAAGTTGGATGAGTACATCTCGTTGTGTTAAACTGAAGTGCGTTTACTCGATAGAATGAATGTAAAATAATTTCTAGGATGAGTAATCTTTCAAATGTTAGATACTATTACGAAGCATTACTTCTTGTAAGATCAGCTATTGACTTACTGTAAGTGGCGAAAATGATTTGTTCTTGAAACCAGTTTATTCACTAGTAGTGGATTGCTTGTTTCTCATGTGGATTTTATTACCTAGCGATAACCAGATCCATAATAACTGTCAGACGAAGGGTATTCGATGCTACTGGTCTGGTGATATATACGTCTGACCTGCATACAAATGGAGCTATAGCTTGTTGGTCTAAGCATTCTGCTTTCAACCAGTGGTCACAGGTTGGAACACCGCTCAACCTAGTAGGGTCTGAGCAGCTGACTGGTATCATAAACACACAAAACTGGTTGGTGTGACTTATTGTCTAACACATTCACGAAAGCGCACAGGGTTATTGACTGTATTTCGACTTTATCTACTCATAAATGAAAGAACTAATCTATCAATAACTGAATTTACTGATTCTTCATTCTAAAAGATGCTAATTTCTGGTCTTGCGCACTGAAAACCCTGTTTGCTTTTTGTTTTTTACTCTTCCTATTGCTAGTATCTTCACTTAAAATGATGTACTTTTTGTTGTTTTGTTTATATACAGTTGTGGTTTGAAACTACTTTAATTGATTGAGTGAAGAGTTTGTTTTCTTTACTATTTGAAACTGTAAAGAGTTGGATGAAAAGTGGTTTGTCGTTGGATTGCTCAGTAGTCGTTGTTACCCGGCAAGTGTTTGCTATCTACCGACTGTAGTCCGCAGTGAATATTAAAGTAATTAATTAATTAATTGAAACGAACCATCTTTTTTTTCAATACTCCTTTTAAATTCACTCATAATACATTTGTTTATTTTTATACATGATTATAGACACTGGCATTTTCCTATATGACCGGTACAATCACTTCATATTATGATACTCAGTCTGTTCTGATTGCGGTGGCGATTACAGCTTGCTTATGTATAGCAATTTCGATATTTGCTATGCAAACACGGATTGATATTACTAAATGCACTTCATTGATATTTGTCCTGTCTATTGTTGTAATGTTGACTGGAATCGCTTGCATAATTGTCTATGCAGTATCTGGACCTAATCGAGTAAGTAGTAAGGATTTAATCATTTTATTTTATATGCTGATATTCTTGATAAATTAATGAATTTTGACTGAGGTGGGGAGAAGTACTGTTATTTTTGGAAAAATAAAATGTGCATAGATTACTTCTAGTGATTCGAAAGATGAGGTTTTAAATGCGATTGGTGTAACTCATTATTTATTAGAGTGAAATTGATTTTCAGTTCGTCTTTCAGATAAGAAATACTTGAGTTTGCCGATTTTATTATCATTACAGGTGTACTTACATACATTTGAAACATGATATCTCAACTCATGCGTGTATATGTCAATATTTATTTCATAGTGAAGTCAATTGGAAAAGGCAGTAAATAAAGTCTTGGAGGTGAAAACTTTACCAGAAAGAGTAGACTATCTGTTAGGGAAAAGTGTAAAACGCATCTAAGCGAATCTGAAAGTGATAAAAACGTGTGTTATTTGTACTGAAGCCTCGAAGACAATCCTATAAAACATCTTAAAATATTTTTATAGATTGTAGATTTTTGATTATTTTCTGTTGACACGTTCAGGAATAAGAGTTACTTGACCGGTTTAATCTGAATGTACTGATTACTGTGGAAGAACTTTACGTGTTCGGAAATAAACACTGCAGTCATCTCAAGTTTGTCTTTCAACAAGTAAACCAGGTAATACGTAGCGATGCATTTCTAAATGAACCTTTCACAACCTCCATTATAATCACTTCAATGTAGGTCATTCGCTGCATTATTGAATCCGATTTTAGCTTAAGAATATTAAGTATTCGCTGATGAAGAAGAAATTACTTCCGCTTGACTTAGATAAGCTTTTTGAAAGAATTCCAATCTCAGGTTCCTAAGTTTTATCTTCACAATCATCACTATGTTGTTATCTGTTTCTCATGTTGTTATATCAAGAATAAATTGCTAGGCTTGTTTCAAGCAGTTGATACTAGCACCTGCAAACTATAAATTAAGCACCCTCACGTGATTATTAGTTTCTTTGCATCTCACTGTTTGCACACAACCGCACTTGCAATGTTGACGTCGGGCGAAGGGTACTAGGTAGGTCGATTGATGAGGTTGTGAACCTTAGTCGACTGAAATGGCCTGGACATGTTCTACACATGTTGATCCACTGCCTGCCTCAATATTTCCATGCTAGGAGAAGTTGGATTAGGTTGGAAGAGGGTTCAGGGTGGCCAGTGGATGAAGTCCCTAACTGTTGATGTGAGCTGTGCGGGGTGATCTAGACTGTCTGGTTGGGATCCTCGAGACGACAGTAATCAGTGGTTGAGGACTGTTGGTGGCATGGTTGAAAATCGGTAACAGTAGAGCAGATGTATTCACTCCTTGACGTCTTCGATAGCTTTAATATTAGCACTAACCTTCACCTTGAAGTTTTTTTTCTGTTACACAACTTTTTTACGTTGATATCCCTCTTACTCTGTCTACTTATTCTTTGTATTCTACTGTTAAGTATGGCAAATTAACCCGATACCCTGGTGTGCGAGGTTCTATGTTGATTATGCCTTTCTTGTCTGTCTGGACCTACCTTTGGTTTCCCACCCTTATGAGTTACCAACTGAATTGAACACAAAATGGTGATGTATTTCCAATCCTCTTACTAGCAGTACTTTCTTCACTCTCATTGGTCTATCATAACACCTGTTTATCTTACTAAACCTCTTTATCAAGGCTGTTGTCGAATTCTCCATACACTGTGCTCTGTGAACGAATTCACTAAATTCTAGAGTACAGGTGGGATAATATTTCCCTTTATAAACTATTACAGTTTTCAAAATAGGCAATCTGAATGGATTTTGTATTTACACATCTTTGTAGCTAACAGTAATTTCTTATTTTTAGGTATTAAGTATACAGAATGAATTGTATAGTTCATTTGGTTTCATTTGCAGAATTGACTAATGAATTGAAATCATTAAAGCATCATATTTTCTCATTTACTGCACATTTTTCTTCTCAAATGAATATTGCTTCATTCATTTGTTTCATGCACTGATAAATTTCAGTGTTTATCCCTGTTTGTTTTTTTGTGAACCCGTTAGGGGAAGCCGTTATTGAGAGAAGAGACCAACTTCAGTAGTTAGACTACATATCAAATTATTGGATGTAAACTGTACATTTGAAAGTACTTCATAGCGAAAGTCTTTAAGTAGTTACTTGATATTGCAATATTGATATCGTTTATTTCCTGTAATCACATATACATAAAGTAAGAAATGTAACTCAGAGATCGTGTAATGAAATACACTTATTGTCGGACATTTGATCATATTACATTGCTGTCCAAACCTCAAACTCATAACGTAGTGATGAATATTCACTTATCTCAACCAATAAATTGTTGCTCCGCTGTAGTCAAATAAGTGCGAAATACTTCTCACTTATCCATGAACTGTGTCATATGCTTAGTAGCAATATCAGTATCGTCAGTGCGTCTGATGCCGTTGATCGGAGTTAGTGAACTCATATGTGAGAAAAAGTATTCACCAGTAACTCAGGTCAATGGTTTAACTATCGTTTTTATACGTACTGAAGAAATATTAACTCATGTCTGAATTAAATGTCTAAAATTATTGACTCAGCCCACCAGAAAACTAATTTATGTGTAACTGGCTTGGTGTTCTGACTTGCATGTTACAGTGACAACGAACTATGCTGATGGGAATATCTATTCCTTGAGTTTCTATCACACTAGATAGGCCTGTCGGACAATGATAAGGCAAGAAGTAGTTACCGTTATAGCGTAAATTGCTACTCCATGACGGGGTACGAGGACGAAGTCGGAGTGATGGTTGGGCGGGGTGTGTGACAGCGTTAAGATGTTTTCCATTGATGACCAGTATCATGCTGATCCAGCTTTCACTAAGGCAAGGTGAGTAAAAAATTCCAGTCTAAGGATAGCACCTCCGTGGCCTGCAGTCTTCTAGTGCCGGCGATACGATTTTTATAGCTTGATTTAGTCCTAAACCAAACCAAATTAAATCTCAAACTTTCAAAAAGGCTGTTTATGACCGGCTTGAAACAGATATCCCAATTTTTTCCCATACTTTAAGAAAAAGTAACTTTCCATGGTGTGGACAGTGTCAACTGCACCCACAACTCTATCAGTGATCTAGTTCCCGTGGTGGTTGAGACTCATTAAGTACATTAACCAAAGCGTTACTCAGCGTATGAAAATCAAATATGATCCCTCTAACTGATCTCAATTACCGACTGTCACAGTCCTCAAGAAAGATGGTATTTCTCTCAGGGCAACCATAGGAAAATCAGTTTGATGAATTTGGCGTCTAAAATCGTAGGTTATGCGATCATTAGATATCTGGGTGAAACCCGGAAATAGCTAGTGAGAAAACCATTCAAGTTTCAGGTCTGGTTGTTGTTATACCGACCAGGTCTTTAGGGTCTGTGTTTGAGCACCAGCAAGCGTGTCAGAGCAGACCTGATGGTCTGCTTCTCGTCTTTTGACTATGCAAAGATTGACGTTGTCACAAGAGACTCGTATGTGAAACTGGAGTACACGGATGGCATGGTCTTGTTGATTTCGAATACTGAGAGAAAGCAGAGTCTTTCAACCACCCTATGTAGCAACTTTAGCTTGTTTAGGACGCGTTTCCCACCACCCAAATACCCATTGTTGCCCCAGGACCGATCTATGTTGATGTCTCAGTTAGCTATGGCAGTGAAGTGGTTAAACGTGTTGATCACTCCTTTCATAAGTTAGACCAACCCTGACGAGCTAGTGAACGAACAAATCTTGGTGTGGATGGAGAAGGCTCACCTGGCTTTTTCTAGTTGTAGTTACTTATGGCGCCGCCATGATATCTGGTTGAATCTTTAGGGTGTAGTGTACTGCTCAGCAGTTTACTCTGTTCTATTATATGGCTGTGCAAAATGTCCACTAAAGATGAAGAAAATGACGCGGATTGAGATATCTAACCACTGTTACTTTCGTAGCATAGACCGTGTGTTGTGATGCTTCGACTCTGGCGGCCTAGGGGTCAAGGTCATTTTGGGTAAGGGTTATAAACCTCTATCTACTGAGGTGACCGGGAAATCTTTTACGCATGTCTGGTCACCATCCAATCAGTCACTCAATGTTTAGGCTTAAGAGACGGTTAGTAGTGACCAGATTACAACTTGACATCAGTCCATGAAGTTTTTGACCGTTAGTCTACCGAGATTAGTGGTCGGAGACTGTATGTGATATGGCCCAGAATCAATCACAGTGGGGCAAATATATCCACATATTATCTTCATTTTATTCATCAGAGCGATTTTCATTCCTTTCTTTCTATTTATATGGCTTTCTACTGCTTTTGATGTTTATTCCTCATTCTTTCATCCTGGTTTCTTCGACTTTAATGTGCTGATACGAAGTGCAGCAATGTAAACTGTTTTGCCGTAATCTCTGGTTCCAGATTATTGTTGACTGAACTGAAGACACGTATTTGTAAAACTTAACAATATGTATGCAGAACTGCAGTAACCTTATAAGATAAGGTGTAATTAATAAGTTAAAAGAGACAGTCGCCAATCAGACCACTGTTGGGTTTCATGAAATGTAACTTGTATCTAACAAAATGGTGCGAACAGTAAGAATTTAAATAGTGCAATAAATAGGAAAAGTAAGGGAAATGATCATCCTAAATAGTTTGACCAGACTAAAAAGTCTAGCTTCGGTTTATGATGTCTTTGACTGCTGGTTTGAACCGTGTAAAGACACGTAGACTTTTAGCTTGAGGTCCATAAGACAACCAACACTTGTGATTAAAGGGTAACGCGGTAATATGACCGAAATTCAATCATATTGGTTCATATGCATCCGTACCCTATTTTTGCACCCTATCTGTTACATCATATTTCGTCACTTACATAATAACCCTTTTTTATTTCTGTTGTATTGCTTTGTACAACTTCCTTTTACTATTATCATCATCATTATGTGTCCATGTCTTTATTTTTCATCTTTTTGTCGTATACCTTGATATTCTGATGTAAGTTGTGGCAACTTGAGCCGAATGTGGGTTCCTTCTTAGTCTTCAATAATTCACCAATTAACACAAATTGGCATAAAACGTAGATTTTTTTGTAATAGTATACAACACTTAGTTGACTAGTATATTTTTTCCCCCACCATATATTGGCAGTGTTAAGAGTAGTTTTCATAAATGATCAGTTTACACGTTATTTTATTTGTTTACCTTTAAACAGATTTTACAAGTCGTCTACGGTGGACTGGGAGCGCTATTATTTGGTGTAGTACGTCTTGTTTTTTTAAAATGCTTATTTTGTTTTCTAATCAAGGTCAACAAAAAACATTAAACTATATGATATACATCGGCAGTACAATTTTATTACTGTCACCCACCTTTTAGAACTCTAAGACAAATCATCAAGTTCCTTATTTCATTCTGTTAACTTCAAACTTGGTAGATAGTTGATGGAGGTTACTCAGCTAACCACCACACGGGATGGGATGATAAAAACTCGGATTTTCGTGTTACTGTAATTTGAGCATTGTCGTTTTTGGATTATATGATTTCCTACTCAAACTTCCAAAAATGGTCTATGAAAAAAATCGTTGGGGTGGAAGTTTCTGTACAAGAAGCTTTAGATTAAGGTGTCATGCCGTTGTGTATTTAGGAACTAGAAATTTTAACTCTTTTTGGAGACTCTTCTGTGAGGTCTGTCCAGGCTTAATTCGGTACCAGAATGAAAAATACTAAGGTACACAGTTTTCCTATGTCAGATGAATTGCACACTATTTGATAAGGAGTCTTATTTATTCCTCAGTTAATGCTTCTAAAGTCCTATTGATTAAGAACTCGTGTTTGACCAGTTTAGAAGCTGCGATCCTCTTTGATTTGGAAACTTTTGAATTTTCTTCTATTGATAAGACGTGAAGTTATTATCATGTATTGGGATACTAGTCAGTGTGTAAATCATTATCTTTGAATACGATACAATGCACACATATATATACCTGTCAGAGAAAAGACCAAGTCAGAAGGTAGAATGAAATTCCTTGTTCTGCAACCTTCACACATGATAGCCACTTCACTGATGATCGGGTTGAATATGTCTAATTAGTGGCAAGTTTGTTCCTGATCTAGTGATGATTGTTCATAGCAAAGCGCTGAAATTATTTACCCATAGCACATGTTTTGTATACGTTGAGTCGTTATGCATATTTTATGCCTGTTTGGAATAAGTGTTTTTTTTTCAGCCAATGTAACCGAAAGCTTGTACTTTTCTACATAATTCAAATAAACATGCGATGCTTTCATGAGTCACTATCATATTGTCGTCTTAGGATCATGTGGATCACTCCACTTGGGGAGTTGCATCAGCCCGAACGAGGTGGTTGTTGACGAAATCTCATGTTGGATACAGATGACCCTTTCGGCACTTGCCAACTTCCACCATCTGTGGTGCCAACTAGTGAGATATCTGACTCTGCGCTGTAGTTCGTTCTTTCCTGTTATACTTCTGTGAGACATTCCCGTTAAAAGTATAAGACATAAAGCGATTACAGGGTTTTGATCACAGATGTCTTCATTGCATTGCTTGTGTTTGGTGGAATCATCGTGTGAGCGATGTCGAGGTCAGACGAAGGGTACCAGGCAAGTCAATTGATGAGATTGTGAACCTTATTCGACTGAGATGGCTTAGACATTTGTTCCATATACCTATCCACCACCTACCGTGACATACCATGCTAGGGGAAGTTGGATTAGGTTGAAAAGGGTTCAGGGTGGCTGGGCCAAGACATGGCATCGGTGGGTGAAGTCTTTAACTGTTGGTGTGAGCCATGTGTGGAGATGTAGTCTGTCTGGTTGGAGTCTCCGAGACGACAGTAACCAGTGGTTGAGGACTGTTGGTGACAGCCGAAAATCGGTCACAGTAGCTCATTAACCGTTATCTCCAAATTGTTTATTCTCTTACACAACTTTGTCTACTTTGATATCAGTCCTTTTCTACCCACTTGTTCTTTTTGTACTACTATGAAGTGTGGCAACTTGAGGCGGTCTCCCACATTATGTATAATTTCATTGTTAACAGAAGTGTGTTATGTCTCTCCATTTCTTATTAATTTTTTCGTGTACCTATTCGTTGTTCGCAGTATTTAGCTTTCGATACACAGCATATCATTGGTGGACGAGAACTGGAGCTCAGTGCAGAGGAGTATATATTCGGTGCTTTACAGTTGTATTTGGATGTTGTCAACCTATTCCTGATGATTTTGTCATTGTTTGGTAGCAGAGATTAGCGGACAACAACTAGACACAGAAAAAGTGGCGTTCAGTGTAGTATGAAGACACGAAACACATCATATATTATTATAATGGACAGTTACAGTTTATCAGTATTATCTTTTTCCTAATCGCACCTTTTCTTCATATTTCTTGTTAATTTCATTGAGATTATAATCATCCATATTATTATTGTTGCTGTTGTCATGCGTATCTCGTCACTGAGCTGACTTTAAGTCTTATTTCAGTGCAAATTCCATTGTCGGTCTTTGAACAGTTGACAATCATATATATTTCACTTGGCACTGTCACGTTTAACGATAAAAACCCAACTTCTAAGAGGATCAATCAGTTTATATAAACAATAATACTTTGAGGAATCAGTACTTGTTCATCATATTATATAAATGGGAATTTCTATTTATTTCAATGATTAATTTTTTTTCTTCTCTCTTTATTACTTTGTGGAGCTTTTCTTTCTGTCATAGGTGATGAATTACATGGTGATATATTAATACTGTGTTGTATAATGTGAATTCATCGGTTTCAGTAATTTCCCTTAGTTGGGGGGAAAAGTGATGAATGACTGTCTAAATCATTGTAGTTCATTGTTGTTCTGCTCGCTTCTTCTCCTCTTATGGGCGATGTTTCTTGAAGATCTGAACAAATGGAAGCAGACAAATCTATTCATATCGTGTCTTGATTTCGCTTACTATCTCATCATATGGCTAATTTTGTGCTCGTATGTCTGCTACATTTCTGACGTAGTCATGATATTTTTCTTCTTTCAATAACTTGATGAGTATTTCATTTTTTTTTATACATGCCTATTGTGCATAGCATGAGTTGGTATTCGTCTTGGACTAACATTAGTTGGAGGAACATTGAAAACCTGGGAGCACTAGACAGCAGTTCCGTCCTAGTATGGTACTCCTCGGCAGTGCGCTTCGGTGACTAGCTTCTAGAGGTGATTCCCGAAGTTCTAGTGAGAAGTCGTGACCGGGAGACGGGGCTCAAACATGAGGACGTTTACTCAACGGTGGCATTAGATGGAGGTCGCGCTTTATCCTGAAGTGGCAGAAGTAAGAAATTATGACCATTGGATTCCGACCCAGTGCCTCAATGGTAACATACTTGCCACGAGACCTGTAGGTCCTGGGTTCGATCCGGTATGACGTACAGTCATTTGTGCGCACTGCTGAGTCCTATACTAGGACGAAACGGCTGTCCAGTACTCCCAGGTTTCTAATATTCCTCCAACTGATATCAATCGATGATGACCACCAACCTGAAAGCAGTAAAAAATCCTCACAAACCTTCAAATTGAATTAGATACTATGGTTTGTGGTTTTCCGTTGTTGACTGAACCAAACTGATCGGCCATTGTTAGCATACTACACTATACCCGTCTCATAATAAGTGGCCTGGTGCATAACGCCCTGGCGTTTGAAGTGGGTGGTCCTGGGAACAAAATCATCCAAGGTGAGGCAGCTGAGAAGTCCCAAATAAGACGAAACACGTGTCCTGGATTTCATTACTTAAGCCATTACCCATCATTAATAACAAACTGGGTAAAATATGCCTTACAAGATATGCATCATGAGAAACACTACGTCATTAGTATTTCAAACGGAAATAGAAAGTGATGGTCAGCAGAATAATCAAAGGAGGAGAAACAGTCACATAGCATGTATTTAATAAACTTTCATGTCAGAAGCCACAACGACCGAAGATTAATGTCGGTCATTCACAAAACATGTTGAATTATCTGTAGAAAGATAAAAAACCCAGTTTATTATGGGAACTAATCAGCAAATCTTATACCATGTAAAGAATATGCGAACATTAGATTTCGAATAGAATCGATGAACAATTTTCACAGAAAAAAGAATCTGATTGACACAGTTGTCAAAAGTATTCATCCAATATGCACACAAGATACGTTGAACGGAGCTGAAATTCTTCGAAAAAACGTTAGCTTAAAACGGTTACTCACCATTGTTTATTAATGTTTCACTCAACAGTACGAAAGAAGTAATTGTGTGAATCTGAAATTCAAGCGCGATGCGTCTGATTATTTCCTATAAATTTATCTCTGTAAAACAACTGAAAGAGCATTTTGTACTACACCTTGACGTCTTTCAAAATGGATGCTCTGGCTCATCGAAAACCATTTCCTGTTGTTGATTACGTCAGTGTGTATATAAGTCGACTTATTCCTGTGGGACTGATGACGTAAGTTGTGTCGGCGGGACACTATGAAAACTTATTCGCAGGCGTTTACCACCATTGCTACCGGAAAGCGTGTCCAGCTGAACATAAAGGGTACATTTTGTAGTACATCGTTCGGGTAGATCACAACTGTTTTGCATGCCTGAGCGCATGACTAACGGTCTGCTTTGTTCGGTCTCAACAATCACTGTAAAAGCTTGAAGATATTTGTCAAAAACATTCAGTCTAGCATTTCAATGTGGTTTCATAAAATGACGGTACTATGCCGTAACATGTATTTCCCAACATCTTTAACAATCATGTTCTTACCACAGGTTACGAGCAATTTAACGGGAACTGTAGTTTCAACACAGGACTATCTAATATCAATAGGGTCTAAGCACGCAATATTGTAAGACACGCTACAGTAGGATGAATTTCCAACCCCCGTATATATGATTACCAAACTAGACACTAATAGGTAAGATAAAGCAGGAGGAAAATGATAGAGTTTATTTGTGTTTCGGACTAACGATTATAAGGACAAAAGTTTATATACATATAAAATTCTAAGTGACCTTGTAAGTCGACCAGCCAGAGAGTGTAGTGACTCACATGAAATTTTCTTGGACGTTCAGATTTCTCAGTATGACGTGACTGAGAACTTTTCGAGAAATAGTAGTATTTCCTAACATTGTTAAAATCCTTCACTGTACAAAACCAAGTTCCACTGGTCTAGGGAAGAACTGTTTATATGGAAGCATTTTACATTTGACTTTTTAGAGCTACATTACTTGTGTGGCAGCGCTAAACACGACCAAGTGGGTATGTTCTGCTTCTTATCTGGTGCACTTTGAAAAATTCCACCAGCATTTATGCAAATACTCAGAAACATCAACTTAACGACTCATTTAGATGGTAACTGCCATGATCAAACCTCGACAACCTCATTGTGGTGCAGACCACATTTCCACAAATTGGAGTTTTTGCTCTTTGGTTTATGGATATGACTTTTAACCAGTTAATCACGGGTTTGAACTGAGGAGCCAGGTAGTATCATTAGCTCCTACACACAATTAGTGTGGCTCATTGCCTACTTCACAAATGTGCGTAAGGATGTTGTGAGTGGATTTCCAATTCGGACTGATTACCAACTAATTAAACGCAATTTGAGTACATAGTGTTATCGCAAACTAAAGCAATCGTGTGTATATACTCAAGGTGCGGAGGTTTTTTTCTGAATCGTATCATTCTACATTACTACACACCTCCCGTAGAATTTTTTCAGGAATGTGATCAACGACAGAAATAAAGAATGATGAAATCAGATAGTCATGTTGTAGCCTATTGATGATCTGCATACCTCACGTAATGAACATCTCCCACCTACCATTATGTGACGAGTTCTAAAGATCAATTCTGTATCCTAAGTCAGAAGTCTCCTTATTAGGAGAAAATGCTTCTATCGTTGACCTTCAATCCACACAACAGCGTCCAAGTATTTGTTGTTGGCGTGATTAATCCATTTATGAACCAACGAAACTCGATCGGCTTCTTGCAAATTGATTTCTTTAGCACTTTTTACTGTGTGCATTGAACGATACCAGGTAATACTTGAGGTTCTAGGGGTAATTATTGGAAAGTTGCTACATATATTCAATGTACTTTTGGGATGAATGGGGATTTTAATTTAAAGGTAGTACTCATCACGGAGTGACATCAGTTGGGGAACCATTGAAAACCTGGAAGCACTGGGCAGTTCCGTTCTAGTATGGGACTATCCAATACTAGTATCTTAATAGTGTCTCGCCAAGCTCATAAGCCAGAAATCCTAATAATCTCATCAACTCTTTTCTACTTCTTTGCAAATTGTTTATATTTTGACATGTGTCTCAGGCTTTATTGTGTTCCATTACCCGGATTTCCATCCGGAACTTTGCTCCATTGAATTTCAACTAACGAACGAAACGCATATTTGTAGAGCAGGCAATTTATTATTTGTCCCTTGGGTTCCTAATGGAACATAGGGCTTCAGTAGCACATCTCCATTTCACTCTCTCCTCTGCAATCTGCTGGACCTGGCTCCACGACTGCTCAGAAGCTCTCATTTCCTCCTCGCACGATCTCCTCTTTGTCACCCTCACCTCGGACGCCCAACTCGTCGCTTCCCATCGGGGTTCCACTCGAGGGCCTGGCCTGGCGCATGATATCCCCGAATGGTCTCCTCAGTGTATGCCCAATCCATCTCCACTTCTTCCTGCATATTTGTTGGGTAATAGGTTCTTGGTTAGTTCGTTGCCAGAGTTCCTTGTTGCTTATTCTTGTTATTCTGGCCATCTGATCTTCAGTAAGGAGCCAGCGTGGGCAGGTGTTGATGAATGTCTGTAGTTTGTTGGAAATCCCTTTCGTAGTGCGCCAAGTCTCTGAGCCATACAGAAGCACTGATTTGACGTTAATGTTGACAATCTGGATCTTGTTCCACATGCTGAGTGGAGTAGATCTCCACACTGGTTTCAGGTTACTGAACGCCTATCTTGCTTTTCCTATCCTGGCTTGGACGTTTTCGTCTGTGCCTGTGCTGCCTGTAGTTGAAACAGTGCTGCGTAGATAGGTTGAAAGGGCTACTTCATCTAAGCTTCTCCCGCTGAAGGTGATTGGAGCTTGTTGTTGCTAGTGGTGGTATTGGTTGGGTATCTTCATCACCTTTGTCTTCTCTACGTTCACTCGAAGCCCCGTTTTCGCTTCCTCTTCCGTGAACTTGTTAGTTTTCACCTGCAGATCTTCAAGTTTGTGTGACATCAGACACAAGTCATAGGTGAAATCCAAACCTCCTTGATTCTTTTCCCCGATCCAGCGTTTCGTCCTCTTCTCACAGCTCCTCACTGTTTGTTGCATGATCCAGTCCGCCACAGTCAGGAAGATCATGCGTGGTGATAGTGGGCAGCTTTGTTTTACTCCTATCACCTGTATTCACTTCAAAGGCATCACTGAGCTTCCCATTGTGAATTACTTGGCATGTGGCATCTTCATATAGTTGTTCAATGAGATTGATAAAGGTTTGCGGTATTCCGTAGTGTTGAACCAACTGTCAAATTACTTGTCGGTCGACGCTGTCAAAAGCCGTTTCAAGGTCGATTAAGTTGAGGTAGAGGGTTGACTGCCATTCTATATTCTGTTCTATGATGATGCGAAGCGTTGCAATTTGATTCACACATGATTTATTCCTCCTGAAGCCAGCCAGCCTGTTCCGGTCGTATTTTGAATCCAGAGCATCCTTTATTCTCTCCAGGATGATGCGACTTAATATTTTGCTTGGTGTGGATAACAGTAGAGCATGATTTCGCTCCAGTTCTTCCAAAGATTTAGGTCTTCCTTCTTTGGGATTTAGACCAGGTAGCCCTCCCTCCAATCGCCAGGTACCTTTGCTTCTTGCAGACCTTTTGGAATAGTGATGTGAGCAGGTCCGCTGTTCTCTCTGCGTCTGTTCTCAGTGCTTCTGGCGGGATTCCATCTGGTCTCGCTGCTTTCCCGCGTTTCAGTCGCTTTATGTCGTTCAGGACTTCTGCTTTTGTCGGAGGGCTTGTGTTCACTTGTAGTCCTGTGGCTGCAGGTGGTATTTCTGGACGAGTTGC